GTATATCTCTGAAGTATTTCTTTCATCTTTGTGAGGTGTAAGTAATAACTGTAAGCTCATCGGTACAGAACAGAATATCCTGTTCCAACCAGAATATTTACCAACAGAACAGTAAGTAAATTGAGAGCTTGCTAACTAACTGCTTCGATGAATATACAGCATACAAAGAAAGGGCTATAAAGATGTATTTTATTTAAGCAGAGAAACAAACACATGATTGATTCCATAGGCAACAAACAAACAAACAAACTCAGTCTAGGTTTAGGCAGGCAGGTAAGGAAGGTAATGAATGAATGCTGCATGGCTCCAAAAGGTGTAGTAGTGTAGATAGATTAGATAGATTTCTTGTCATCAGAAAAGGTCGTCCGTGCGTGTTTGGTATCTCTCTACTCTATGGCATTCATTCACTACCTTATGTAGTATGTACTTACTCTCTACTCTCTCTCTTTCTATGTACTTCCACAACTCTCTCCTCTACCCCGCGACCCAAAAAAAAAACATGTAGGTTAGTTAGAAAGACTTTGCCAAATCCCAGGGGTGGTTGGTTGGTTTATGTGCTATGTAGAGTAAAGTAAACCCACATCTGATTCTTGTCTACTACACCCTTCTTCTTCTTCTTTTGCCAATGTAGATAAGATAGAAAAACAGATGGACAGAAAAAAGGGGGAAGGGAAGACTAAAAAAGAGAGGGAGAAAAAACGCCTTTCCGAACGCCAGTAAATGCATGTGTGTATGTGCGTATGTGTGGGTGTAGGTAATGTATGTATGTATGAAAAACCAGGACAAGAAAAGTCGAAGCTGAGCTGAGCTGAGTTTGACTCCCCCCCCTTTTTCTTGCTCGCTCTTGCTCTCCATCACTTTAGATTTCAGGTTTTTTTTTTTTTCACTTCGTTCTATTTTTATATCCCCAGCCCCGTCTTGGCGCGCTCGTACGTGTAGAAGCTGACGGCGCCGAGGGGCAGGATCTTGGCGTACCCGATGGTCAGGCCGACGAAGAAGCCCCGGAGGCCGCGCTCGCGGAAGATCATGCCGGCGGTCTCGGCGATGCCGAGGCGGTGGCCGTCGCCGACGGCGCCGCCGACCTGCATGCGGCGGCGGGTGACCTCGAGCGGGTACGAGAGCGTCTGGGAGACGGCGCCCGAGATGGCACCCGACAGGAGCTCGGCCCAGGCGCGCAGGGGCGGATGCTTGTCCACCGGCGCGTTGGCCGGCTGCGGCAGGGTCGAGTAGTTGCGCAGCACCTCGGACCGGAACACGTCGCCGACGGTGTCGTGCGTCAGAAACGACATGCCCGCGTACGGGATCATGCCCAGCATCGTGGTCGAGAAGCCCCTGTAGAAGTTGATCAGGCCGGAGCGAGGCTTCACGCCCGCCTTTGCCGCGGCGCTGCTGACCGCTTCGGGCGAGGGCGAGATCACCGCCGTCCCCGTCCCCGTCCGCGTCCCCATCGGCGGCGCTCTCGGGAGGGTTTGCTCGTGGTAGATCTTCTTGCAGATGTCGGCGAGAGACGAGCTCCTGACCTTGGTCTCGAACGCGAGCCGCACGCGGATCACCTCGAGCGGGTACGTGAACAGGACCGACGTCACGCCCGCCAGCGCGCCGGCGGCGAACCGTCGGTTCCACGTCTCCTGGTGCCGCGCGCCGATGATGAGGGCGCGGTACTGTTCGTACGCCACGAACTTGATGGCGGCGTAGGGGTAGATCTTGAGCAGGGTGGCCGAGTGGCCCCTGAACAGGCCCACGATGCCGTTGTGCGCGTATATGTCGCTGAGCGCGCGGCCCAGGCCCGTCCACGAGCCGCTGTATTTCGCAAACTGCGGGTTACTCGTCTGGAAGAGGATCTTAACTCGGTCAAGCGGTGCGACGGTCGTCTTGGCCTAAATATATAAATCGTGGATCGGAAATTAGCAAAACCAACCAATCTGATTGGGGTATGCGCATCTAGAGAAAGAGCAGGGAAATTTTGCTTACAGCACACCCTGCAAGACCGCCTGCTACAAAGGACCGGGCTATGTAGTCCATGCTGTGCTTGTTCGGCTTCTTCCTCCTCCCCTCCTCTTCTCCCGGTGCCGCTGCTACCGCGCCATCTTCGGTAATGGCAGACGAACCGACCGTGTTCGGGCTAGAGGGCCTCTCGTCTGTACTTCTATCCGTTGCTGTGTCGCCCATTCTGTCGTTGAGCACGCTGCTATCCGCGTTTCTCCCCTTTCGTTCCGTCGTTGGATTCTCCGCGATTGAGACATCGCTGGTCAGAGCCGATGGCATTCCTACGCCACCGACTAGCCGAGCGATTCCGCACACGTATTCCGCACACACACACACGCACACACAGGGAGACGCAGAGAGGTATGTATTGAAGGGGGGTTTCGCGCCGGGAATCGCCTCGTTTTTTCCTTATTCCATGCAAACAAGATCAAAAAGACGAACTGATCTGGAGGGAATATTCGGAAAGAGGTCGCTAGATGAGAAGACCGGGGTATGTGGGATCTATCGGCGGAATGGCTGCAATGGACTGGCAATCGGCGTGAGGAAGAGAGTGCAGAGGGTTGGTTACAAGTAAAAGCAGAGAGGATGCGGATCCGGGGTCGAATTTCCTTTCCTTGCCAAAGGGAAAAACACCCCGAACGTCATGCGCACTGCAAAAATGCGGTCCGCCTAACGGTTAGCTCTGTTTCCCCGGTCTCCCGAGCCGAAGCTTGCCGATAATTATATACCCGCTCAACACCTAACCTAATGCACCTTTCTTTGTTGGCTTCCTTAAAGGTCAAGGGGCGAAAGGTTCGTGAAAAGAATGAGCGGTCCAGACGATTTGAATTGTGAAATATATCGTGTGAAATATATCGAGTTGTTTAACTTTTTGCTGTATTCTGTGCTGTAGTTGCTATGCGACTGCTGATGCTCCAAAAGTCAAGGGTCGCACAAGAAACATGGGGAACACAGAAAGTGTGCCCAGAATACCTATCTAGGATGTCTCAGCGTCACCACGACCGCAAGTTACAGGTTCGTTCAATTGATCAACTATGCAGTCTGGCATTGGCCATCTCCATGTCTCCTAACCTAGGCAATACAAGATATATTGGTCGTTCATACAGAGTGAGATAACTACATCGCCCGTTTCTGTTGCGCATCCAGGCATAGGGAGATCGGTTTGTTCCCCTGCGTGGGTCGGACACTTGAGTTCCAAGAGTATTAACCTAGCCTAGTGATATCCCACATTTCCAAGGGCACGTGCCTCGCTTTGTCGGTGTGACCATTTCATAATTTACTTTTCGTGTCCTCCTAACAAGAACATACATATATAGCTATTTACCTAGTTTTAGGCCAGAAACGACACGCTCTAATCAATCCCACGGCCAGCGAAGCTTACTCTGTAGCACCCCAGTTTCTCAACATGAGGTTAATCGCAGGGATAGTCAGATGCATCATGCCGGCTCTGAGGGCGGAGACACCATGAAATCTGCGGCATTGTCCAGTGAACACACCAGCCGCCTATTTCGCCGCATATATGGACTCGATCCTGTCCTTCTCGGCTTGTATCGCCGCCTTTATTTCTTCTTTCGTGGCATTGTGAGCGACGCTCAGCTGGTTTTTCGGGTTGTCCGGGCTCTTGTCAAACTCCTTCTTCAAGCGCTCGTATCTTTGGTTCTGCCTCAATCCAGGGTATTCCTGCTTTATTCTCGCTTCGTTGCTCTCGATATAAGCTTCCAGCGCGGCTTTGTACCTCCTTTCGGCGTGTCTGAGTATCTTGATGCCCTCGCCATCCCCGTCCGTCTTCAGAATGTCAAGAGCCGCATCGATGCCCGTGGCGGACAGTTCCGTCTTCTTATTACTTCCAATGTCCAGTTGGCTAAATGCAGCATCGATCCCACGGCTGGGCTTCTTCTCGGCTGTCTGTTTGTTTTTCGGCAGGGCTCGGCCTGGAGTGTTCTTTTCGTCTTCCGCAAGTAGCGCCTCTTTCTCCGCCTTCTTTCGTGCTGCTTCAGCCTTCTTGGCTGCCTCGGCTTCTCTATACAAGTGAATCAGCATCGTGGACCTCTTGTCTGGCATGTTCTAAGGGGCCAAACTGTCTGACTAGAGAGTGGGAGGAACTTGGACAGGGCAGCTTACTTTTTACTGCTGTTTTTAGCACCAGCTTGCCATTTGGCATCCTCTGCCGCTTGTTTCTTTGCCTCCTCAGCGGCGGCTTTGGCAGCGGCTGCGTCGGCCTTTCGAGCCTGACCAGCAGCCTTCTTGCTGCCCTCCCCACCACCTTTATCTTTCTTTCCACCCATGGTGCGTCGTGTATTGTCGGTCCGGAGTAAGGAGAAGGTGGCGCTAGGTTTTTAAGCCCGGGAATGCTACGAACAGCGCTTGGAAAGGATTTCGAGTTCCTATTAAGTGTTTTCAAGGGATTAATAGCGACGTGTCAATGATGAGTTCATCAATCACGAAGTGTAAGTCCTCGATAAGCTTCGAGGGCGGGGGATAAGACTTAGTTATATTTGTGGGTACACTCCGTTTCGACAATATCGTAATAAGAGTAGATGTCAATGGGGCCTGAGAGTGAGGTCTAGCTAGCAGGTGCGTATAGATATGTTGAAGTTTGTCAAGACATTGAAACATACCAGATCTTATCATACTGTTCAACTTAGGCCAGAAGCTCATTTAATCGAAGAGAAGATCGAATGGACTGTCATGCCTACCTCTACTACCAGTTGCGACAAGATAGATTGTCAAATACTGCTGTATGCTGTACAAGTGGGATAGGTTGAACGATGCTAGGGAGAACATGTATTATACGGGTACTTGCATTCAAAGGGGGTACACCCCACTTCTCTGAGCTGTAAGCCAAGTATGCACTCCACTTCAATGCACTTTCCAGCGCTCTGTCAACAGAAAACCTCTCAGTACCATAACAGCATGCATTTGTTACAAAAAAGAACGTCGACGTAAAGAGACAAACATACTGCAGCGTTCCAGAAGACTCCAAAGCATTTTAGAGACAAAAAGTGCAAAATAAAGGGCTCAGCCGGGATTCGAACCCGGGGCCTCCTGCATTCCCATGTGAGATGGAAGGGTTTTCGAACACCCGAAGCAGGAATCATACCACTAGACCACTGAGCCGAAACGTCGGAGATGATTGACGCGTTCGGGATTGCTTGCCGATGAAAGTCCGTGCTGTAATGAGGGCATAGATAGCAGCGTCTCACAGCTCACGCTAGGTTAGTGCCTATTTGTGGGTCATGTGACCTTTTCAGACACAGTACCTAGACGAGGTGAGCATGATGAACATGAAAACGCAGTCTTCCATTTAAGAGCTATGTAGCCATTTACGTTAATGTAGATAGTTGTCTTGTTTTGCATATGTCTCTATGGTGACTTGGGAATTGTCTTGTCAATCTCCAGTAACCTAGACAGAAGCGCTCTTGTTATTGTCGAGATACGATGTACACTTGGCACTCCACAGTCTCGACAGTTCCACATGATCTTGTAGCAGTGACGTCTCAATTGGGAGCGACTCAGGAATACGCGAAACATGTTGTTGCTGTCAACTCCTGATACAACCTCATGGCATTGCTTGGAGACCGTCATGATGATTCTTCATCAACGGATCGGACTTAGGTGGTGAGAGCATTATTCACAATCCTTAAGGCTCCCCCCAATCCAATCCTTCTCGAGCTGTCAGGGCCTGGATTTTCATTCTCTACGCTGCCGCTGTTTCGTTAATCTGTGGCCGGCACCAGCTCCAATAACTTCGGTACACGACGAGGGAATTAGGCAGATTAATCATATCCGCAATTTACATGTAGAGGAGAGGAATACTCGCATGATAACCCGCCGAGATGACCCTCCCGTACAAGGTCCGTTCCCCATAGACTGGGGCCCGTAGAATGTTAAGCTTCGAGAAACGTCCTCCGACCATATAAGGGGCCCACTGTCGAGACCACGGTCCAACAGTTGGCCGGTTACAGCTTATCCTCAAACCGTCCCCCTCTTGCAGTAGCCATTTTTCCCGGCAGAATCAGCCGATCTCAGCTGTGATAGGGCTTCACCGCGGCATCACCGACCAGGAATCCCGGGATCAGCTTCATTTTACTTCATGTCCTCTAGCTCCTCGGTAACTCACAACTGTCACTCTTTGGCTCTTTGGATCAATATGCCTTCTATCAGGCTACGTTATGATTTAAATATCTCTCCCTCTCCCTGCCTCCTTGCTTCTAGCTACATGCACGGTCGCTGGCCAGAAATAATAGAGTCTAGGGGTTGTATTGCCAGTGTTCATCTCTATCCTGCGGGACGCATGGCTGCAGAATCTTCGGATGATCTCTGCAGGCGCTGTTTCAATCCCCCGCAACTAGCAGCCATTGACAAGAGGGCAGGTAATGAAACCTACCAGCTTTGTTTGCCAGTCACAAAGTTACCGACCATAAGGAAACCAAGTGTTCCCTACCTGGTACCTGACCTTTACGGAGGCCTGATCTCGATCTTGCGGTAGTGAAGACATCAGGCAGTGATACAACATTTCAGACATCAAGTGGCAGGGCACCTAGTACGCGAGCTATGTTATGGTGTGATATCCAGCCAATATAATGATGTCTACCTCTATGGTACCATAACTGTTCGACCGGACGTCAATCCACCGGGGGCCATGGCGCGGTTTTATCACGCCCCGAAGAGGAGTGAATGCTAGACGAGTGGCTGAACTAAACGTTGCGTGAAGCCTCGAGTAGATCGAATCCATTTGTTTGGTATAGGGTACAGGGGAATGGGACTGCCCCTTGGACAGTCTTGTTAACACCTCCGAGCCAACAAAGACACCGCCTTCGCTTATGTCACCCTATGGAACTGCCCCCTCAAGACAACACGATACGTAACAAGCGGGCGGACAACTTGGCGACATACGTACAGCCACACTGGCAACCTGAGATGTTTGGCATACATGCCCGTTGCCGTGTAATTCAGCCAACGGTCAATCTCACGGATGCCCCGCACTCACCCACCAGATGTTGTTTGTTGGAAGACTTCGTTTATGGCGCCGTGAATTGTGTCAGATAAACTCGCCGGGGGGCATGGTGCAATCCAGCGTTTCTAGTGGCTCATACAAGCTGGTGCCTTGCCTGATACCCGTTGTGTCTGTGTAGCTACTAGACAGCCACCCAGGTAGGCCAGCCTTCAAGAATATGAATGGTGTGCTGAGAAACAGGTCTGTACATCAGATACGATAGGACACACAATAAGGTGCTGGCCACACGAAATCCAGCTAACCTTACAACAGTCGGCACGCGTAATAACCCTTACAGTTATATCCTGCTATTTGCTGAGCCTGAGGTTGAAGGAAGCGGGGATAAAAAAGATCGGCACGGTTTGGATGCTGTCATCAGCAAACACGGTATGATGTTATTCCTTACACATATTAAATGTAACGCCTGCAGCAAACTCAACAGGAACAAGATAATCTGGTACCTATCCCCCGTTCTTTGATGCTGAAAACGACCAACTGCTATTATACCTAAGGTCTGCAAATATCGCCATGGTTATTTCACCGTGTATCTGTTACATCAATCAAGGGTCATTTGAAAGTGTAGTAACACGCTTGCATCCTCCCAGCTCCATGTGTGTGTGTGTGTGTGTAGATCTTTCCCCCACCATGTGGTCGAAATCAGGTACTGAGAAGTTGGAGCCCTACAGCTTACGCCTAAGGTTACCACTTCTCCAGGTGTCTGTGATCTGCAATCTTCTGGGAGTGAGCTTAGACTAGGCGAAGGCAAGGCGACCAAAGAGGGCATCTGCCGCGCTTTCCACCAAGTCGAGCATCGATCACCTCATCCAACACCTTCAGCACACTCGTGGAGGCAACATGAGGTATAAGGGGGGGGAATAAGGCAGTATAACGTGTACTGCTGTACCTTGGTACCATCGGAAATCATCGCCTCATCAAACGGTGGGTACTTGGAAAGTACTTGACCATTTGGGTGTCCCTTTGCGGAAAATTTGGCTACACGATGGGCATAGAAAGTACATCAGCTGTAAAGAGGGGCACCCATTACGTGCATAAGCATGTACCAGAATACCTGGCAGCTTCTAGCTTGCCCCTCATCTCGGCGCTGGTGTTAAAATCGGTCGGTCATAAAAGACGCTAAACATCCCACCTGCAATCAGACAAGATATTATCGCCAATTCTCCTCTCCAGTCTTCAAGTCAACATTCCATTCCTCCCTTTCCCATCAAACTCTTTTTGCTTCTATTCCCCTCTGCATCAACTTCAAAGACCTGCATCATGGGTGTCACCAAGACCGTTCACCAGGAGGGCTCTGGCCCTTCGCCCCAGGCAGGCCAGATTGTGACGATCGAGTACACTGGCTGGCTCAAGGACACCAGCAAGCCTGATAACAAGGGCAAGCAGTAAGTGATAAGTTTTGCAGTCCTACCTTGTTCACATATCCCACGAATTCTGGTTCATTACCTTTGCATCCGACGGCTCTGCGGTTATCCCTGCCCCTCCTGGCATGCTCTGCATGACGTCAGGCCTTCCATGGCTCCAGAGACCTCGGAGGAAGTTCTGTCAGCTAATCTATCTTGCTCTTTTGCAGGTTCGATTCTTCTGTCGGCCGTGGTGACTTCACCACTGCTATCGGTGTCGGCCGTGTCATCAAGGGTATGCCCTGTGCCATTAGAGTGCAGCCAGCCTTCCACTGACAACTTGCTTACAGGCTGGGACGAGGGTGTTGTCACGATGAAGGTCGGAGAGAAGGCCACCCTGGACATCACCAGCGACTACGGATACGGTGCTAGGTAGGTCAACATTCTTCCGTTGATATGGAATGCCCAATCTGTCGTCCGGGTCATCTCCTGGGCCTGGAGGAATTTATTCTGTCCCCGTTTTGAGATTATTTGCTAACGAGCTCAAACAGAGGTTTCACTGGCCACATCCCTCCCAACGCTGACTTGATCTTGTAAGTCCTTGCTGCCTTACATATGCCCCTTGTGGCTGGTGGTCCTGACTAATATTTTCTTTTTATTAGCGATGTTCACCTGAAGAAAATCAGCTAAACGCATCGCCCGCACATTGCTAAAACAAATTTTGCATCTATTGGCGCATGGGCATTTTTGGTAGCTCTTGTTGCTCTCTCGGGCTAGCTACGGACCGCAATATGCATTGGAAGCATTCTTTGAGAGGGTTACAACACATAGGAGGCATCAATTGAACTATTTGTGCTCCACTCTGCTTGCTGCGATATTCTTTCTCATTTCAATTGCCTAAATGCACGATCCTTCTAGGGTCTTCTCATAACTTGGACCCATGATGTGTTGAGTATCAACTGGCTAAAGAGTCCCGCGTTGCCCCGTGTCACTGGCGACCAATGTTAAATTAAGGGCTCTACGTCTAAGACCAAAGCCATCGCCCATAAGACATTGTAGAGAAGCCATTCCCCCAGCCGCTTCACGGCAAGAGGGTAGATTCACATTGAGTAATTTCTACCTACCGAGGATCAACAGTCTTAACCAACGAAAGACAAGATCGGGTCACTTGGTTGAAGTTGATACCTTGTTTTCTGGTTTACTGCCTCTGGTTGTCTCTCCTGCATTCCTTGACAAAAAGTCCTTGCTTCGGTAGATCATGCTCTCAATAGGGCGGATACATCGCCCTTTAGAGTTGTCTTGCCAGGCTTCCTTTCTTTTCCCCTTCTCCTGCACGTTCTGTAGATGGTGTTTAGTATTGTATAGAACTGGCAAGGACGGGATGGAAGACTCGTTTCTTGTTTCATCCCTGTACTAGGTTAGAGGCCAAACACAAACCCTAAGGGTAGAGTGGTGACGGTATCAGGCTTGGACAGCACATTGCCAAAATTGTAGGAGTTCCCTCTTGTGTGTGCAAATGTGGCTTGAGACTGGAATCCTCCTATGGTCCTCTGTGGTGAGGTAAGACAGGGTCAGGGCAGGGTGAGATAGGCGCTGAAAAACATACAAGTATGCGTTAGACTACACTTATAGATACAAATGCAAACATGCACGGGGACATTGCCGGATGGGCGGTTGGGACTTTGGGTCAGGATTGCTTACGTCTGTCAGGGACATCTTTTTAACAGAATGAAATGTCTGGCGAGAATTTCCAGTCTCCTGAC